AAGGACAAAAAGGAGAAAGAGGGAGAAATGGCTGCAAGGAGAGCGGCGCGCGAGAGAAGCGGGCAAAAAAAAAAAAAGAAAAACCTTCCGACGGCTGAGCCTCTTGGCCCGGGACCGAGCCTCCTCCTCGCCGCGCTGCCTGCAGAAAAACAGTGTGCGTCAGCGTACGCAGGAGGGGAGGGAGCCGAGCGGAGAGAGGGAAACCACTGCCCTCTAAAGGCCACATCGGGAACGACACTTCAGAGAAATAAAAACTTTTTTTTAAACGGCGTCCTTTAAAAAATTGTTTTCTTTCTTTTGGAAAATCGGGACTTTTTGAACACGCTGCGGGACACGGGACAAATCATTAAAAATTGTGATTGTCCCACTGAAAGCAGGACTTCTGGTCACCTTAATGTACACAGCCACTGAAATTGGCTGTACATCACCAAATTATGAGTGTGAACTGTTGATCTAGAACGTTGCTTCTTTTTAAAGATGCCCAGAGTCACTAAGGATGAATTGTGCAGCCATATAAATTTTGTAAGTAAGTAAGTAAAACAAAGAAAGAAACAAACAAAATCAGGATTGGAGTTGGATAGGGCTTAGAGCCCTAGAAACTAGGAGCCTGTGAGTTCCAGTCCTGCCTTAGGCTCAAAACTAGCTGGGTGACAGCTAGTAAATATATTTGAAAACATAAATTGACCTTTATGGCAAGTAGAATGAAATTCAGCACTGTAGGATTGCAATGCTTTGGCCCACCTAAGCCTATAGTAAGTTTGTAGTGGGAAAGTGAGCAGGTTTTGCAAGAAGGCTAAATGTAATCATGTGCCCATACCACATTTCTCCCCTTGCTCCTGCTCCTTCTGCTCCCCCTTCTGCTGCTGCTCCTCTTCCTCCTCCTCTTTCTGCTTCTGCTCCTTCTCTTCCTCTTCCTCCTGCTCCTCTTCCTCCTGTTTCTCCTCATGCTCCTCCATTTCCTCCTCCTCTTCCTCCTTTTCTCCCTCTTCCTCCTTCTGCTTCATCTCTTGTACCTGCTCCTCCTGTTTCTCCTCCTGCTCCTCGTCCATTTCCTCCTCTTCCTTCTCCTGCTCCTGCACCTCTTCCTGCTCCTCCTTTTGCTTCTCCTCCTCCGCCATTTCCTTCTGCTCCTCCTCCCCCTCTTCCTCCTTCTGCTTCTTCATCTCTTGCTCCTCCTCCTGCTCCTCCTCCTTCTCTTCATCCTCCTCCTGCTCCTCCTGCTCCTCTTGCTCCCCCTTCTGCTTCTGCTACTCTTCCTGCTCCTCTTCCTGCTTCTGCACCTCCTTCTGCTCCTGCTCCTTCTCTTCCTCTTCCTCCTGCTCCTCTTCCTCCTGTTTCTCCTCATGTTCCTCCTCCATTTCCTCTCCTCTTCCTCCTCTTCTCCCTTTTCCTCTTTCTGCTTCATCTCTTGCACCTGCTCCTCCTCCTCTTCCTCCTGCTCATCCTGCTCCTCATCCATTTCTTCCTCTTCCTCCTCATCCTGCTCCTGTTCCTGCTCTTCCTTTTGCTTCTTCACCTCCTTCTCCTCCTCCATTTCCTCCTCTTCCTCCTCTTCCTCCTCCTGCTTCTTCATCTCCTGCACCTCCTCCTTCTCTTCATCCTCCTCCTGCTCCTCCTGTTCCTCCTGTTCCTCCTCCATTTCTTGCTCCTGCTCCCCCTCCCTTCCTCTTTTGCTGCTTCTGGTGTGTAGGGAGATTCAAAATTCTGGTTCTTGCTCCTCTGGTGGCCTCAACCCTTCTCATCTGATGCTGTCATGTCTTTGATATTGCCTCTCCATCTTCTTCTAGCTCTCCCTCAGGTCCTTTGGCCTTCTCTCTTTGTCTAGGCTTTGTATGGTATGGAATGCCAAGACCTTCCCTCCAGGTGGAGAAACCACTTTGCTTGCTGTTTCTGTGTGTGGCCTAAGTTTCTTTGGACCACTTGCAATAAAAATAAAAGTGAAAGTTACTCATCACAGAAATGAGATGTTTGAGGAAGGCTGCTGGAGTGACCAGAAGGGATAAAAAAAAAAACAAGATTGTAAGAGAAAGAATTGAAATAGAAACACCCGTCAACCATAACAATTCCAGTTTTTTTTCTGGAGTATAAGACTCACCGTTTCCCCCTCCTAAAAGAGCGTGGAAATGTTGTAGTATCCTATACACCAAATACAGTCATTTTTTGACCTCCCAAAGCTCTGCCCCCCACACTCCACTTTTGCAAAAATGGGTAAAAAATGGGCCGTTTTCTGCAAAAACGGAGGTGTTTGTCCCTTTCCTCCAGCCCCCAGAAGCACTCGGCAGGCTTCAGCAGGGCTGGGGGAAGGAGACAAACGGGGGCTTTTTTGCTTTACCCCAGTCCTGCTAAAGCCTGCAGGGTGCTCCTGGGAGCTGGGGAGAAGATAAACTTTTTTTTCTTACTTACCCCTTCGAAATCTTGGTGTGTCTTCTACACCGGTGCGTCTTATAGTCCAAAAATACGGCATTTATCATGTTTCGTCTTATTCGTGAGAATCCTCATCAAAGTCACTTATGATTTTAGGAGGTGTGTGTTTGCAAATTTAGAGAACTACTGCGCTGGCCAAGTCACACCAGGTTTCGAAGAGGAATCCAAGCTGTTCCTGTAACGGGGGCGGGGCAGGGGGGTTGGAGCGGGGGATGGGACACCAGAGCAATTACAGGCCCATTTAACTGGATGCATTTTCTGGATAAATTAATAGTGGCTTTATTGTAGATATTGTCATCAATCACACGGAAGAATGAGTGTTGTGGACAGATAAATCAACATTACAGCTTCTGCAAACGTAACATATTAGCCTATTAAAATTCTCGGGGAATTCGGGAAGCAGGTGGATGGACCTAGTAGCTGTCGTTTATTTAAATGTTCAAAGCCATCTGACAGTTTCCCGCTAAGTCTCCAGAGTAAATTTGCTCACCTTTATGACTCTAGGAAGAGAAGAGTAAATAGAGAGCGGGAAAGAGTCAACTTTTCTTGTAATTGAAGGAAGCAAATAGCTATCTTGCTGAACAGTCGGTTCTGGGCCCAGCATTTGTTGAATTGGGTTATAAATGATCTAGAGTGCAAAGTAGCCCATAAGGAGCCCAGGATCTCCTATTCAGAATAAAGGGTAGCCCACCCAGGGACAGCCTATTTAGAGCAATGGCCCCCTAACCTTTTGGGCAACAGGAACTGGTTCTGAGGAGAAAGGTTTTTCCATGGACTGGAGGGAGCATGGATTTGTGCGCTGCCTGCATCCTGCGGATGAGGCCACTGCTGGTCCACGGGATTGATGATGATGATAATTTAGATTGAAGGGTAGTCCATTCAGAGTAAGGTAAAGGTAAAGATTTTCCCCTAACATGCGTGCTAGTCATTTCTGGCTCTAGGGGGCGG